CTATTACTTTTATACTGATAGAAAATGCCTTAAAATGTCACACTTTAGGAAATACTAAGACAATGAATTCGTTTTAGTCATGTATTTCTTGCACCCAAAGAGTTAGCTGGAAACTGGAAATGGCTTTACAAAACCAAATGGTCCTTTTTGCTACGATCACAATTTTTCATGTATTTTCCTGTTTAATTCTTGTATCTCTGAAACATCACTCATAACAGACAAACATCTTTAAAAAGATAGTCCTGTCTTTTCTACAGTAAATGTCTATGGGAATAAATTACGGTATCAACCAAATATGTAAAATAAAGTATGTGTGGAAGCTAAGGAAGAAAATATTCAGGTCATTAATATTTTCTCCTCTGGGTTTTACTTTCATTTTCCTAGCCTTTATTTTTTTTTATGCTAAACTTGCATTTTAAAGTGAATATTCCAGAAATAGATTCCCAATATTGTCACCTTCTAGTCTATAACTTGACTCACATCTTGTGTCTTCAGTTGTATAGTCTGGTATTTATAACTCAGCTATCTGTACTTATTTACAAGAGAAATAAGTAAAAACGGCAATTTTTAAGTTTTTTGGATCATTAATTTCTTTGATTACTTATTAAATGTTTGCATTATGCATAGTTACCCTGTATGAGATAAAAAATAAATGTAGCTTGTGGTCTCTGCCTCACATTGCTTATCATTTGAGGGAGTGAATGCACACAGACATGAAAAATTAAATGACATAACAGAAGCCACACGAGTTACATGCCTATTGAGTGTTTAAAGAGTTGTGCTTTTGAGGCTGTAATAGGACGCAGTGCCGTTTGCAGTGGCTCAGTGAGTGGTGAGGGAAGACTTCACGGGGGAAGTGTGCACTGAGGGGAGTAAAGACAGTGAGGGGACATTGTGAGAGAAGCCGAATCAGGAAGCATTCTGTGCAGACGGTGGCAACGTGACTCTTTGCTGGAAAGTAGTGAAGTAATGGGATATAATTTAGGCAAGGTGGATTTAATAGAGCTTGCTGAAGTCGGTGATAACCCTTGCAAGTTTTTAAACTAAAGAGAAAGAGAATGTATTAAAAGAGACTAGAGTAGCAAGTACTAATTTGCTTCTTGGAAAATCCCAGTAATTAGGCAGTGAACAGAATACTCAGGTCCTGTTAGGCATTGGAAGCTGTACGTAACATTAAACTGAAAGTGAGAATCCTCTGTTTAGCAGGAACATCTATCCTAATGTAGTCAGTAAAAGATGGAGCTTTTGCCTTGAAAATTCCCAGGTTATAAGTGATGATACAATGGCTCAAATGTCTAGGGGATATTGGTTAAAAATAAGAAGCAGTAATTTCCCAACCTCCCAAACCACGCCCATTGCCTTTGGGCTGATTCCAACTCAGAGCGACCCTATATTAATTTGTAGACCCAGCAATTTGCTATTATTTCTTTCTGTAGTAACACCCAGAGAACAGTATACTGTGACCTCACATGAATGCCAGTGAATGAGTCAGAAATACCGCTGAACTTGAGAAAGGCTGTTACTCCGGGTATTGTAACCTGGTTACAAACAAAAGGAATAGCTAATGTGTTGCTTAATTTCTTTATCCCTTCTACAAATTTCTAGCCCATAATGAGCACCTGAGTTTATAGCCCAGCACTTCTAAAAAAATTTTTTTTGAACAGATAATATTCACAAGTGCAACACATCTCTGCATTCAACAGTATCTTGTTTCTTTTAGTTTTGGAGTTCTCTGAAATAGATGTCTTTTTATCCCTGCACCTATTGAGTATCCGACACATTTTGTAAACGCCATGGTGTTGATTACAGTAGACGAACTCTGCATGATGATCTGCTTTACCAGGAAGGATTGGCTTGGGTAAAGATTTGTATGGACTCTTTTAAAAATTATTTTTATTTAATAATGATAGCTCATCATGTTTTTAATAGTTTTATGGGCATATACGTTGCATATCATACAATTTAATTGTTCATTCATATTAAGAAGAGATGTGTAATCATCACAATTTCAGAACATTTTATTTATTTTTAATCATTTTATTAGGGGCTCATACAACTCTTATCACACTCCATACATACATCAATTGTGTAGAGCACATCTGTACATTCATTACACTCATCATTCTCAAAACATTTGCTCTCCACTTAAGCCTGTGGCATCAGCTCCTCATTGTTCCCCCTCCCTCCCCACACCTCCTTCCTCATGAACTCTTGATAATTTTTAAATTATTATTTTGTCATATCCTTTGCACTCCCGTCTTTGAAAATGAACTCATATCCTAATAAAAAGCAGAAGTCCTGCTGGCTCAGTGAGTTAAGCTTTTGATTCCTCGTTAGCAATGGCAGGGTTCAAACTCGGGCTCCTGGAGCGAGAGAGCGGAAGATGAGACTGTCATTCCCTAAGGAGCAGTCCTTGTGAGTGTGAATCGACTGCATGGGAGCGGGCATACTTCTTGTTTTTTGACAAGCCAGCTGCCTGTTTATTAATACCTACACTGAGCAGTCTTCCAAAGTCCACTAATGGGACTACACCACGTTATAAAGTTTTGGTTTAGTATAATTACGTGATTTTTTAAAAAAGACTGCTATTGAGGTTATCCCATGTATCTATCAAAATCTAAGCAGCACAGTTGTAGTCTGATAACGCTTTGCAGTGAATCAGAATGGACTTGATGCACTAGTGTTTTGTTTGTAGTGTACTAGCATGGAACTTAGTGCGGGTAGTGAGTTATGTACTGTGTTGCTCATTCTTAAGGTCAGCAGTTCAAGACCATGAATTGATCCAAGGTAGAAAGATGAGGTTTGATTGTGGTAGCAATTGTACATTTTACTTGATGTGATTGAAATTTGGAATGATAACATATATGTATTAAATCCCAATTAAACTTTTGAAAAGAAAAAGGAAAAAAAGAAAGTGAAACAGCTTCCTACACCAGAAAAAAAACAATGTTTTTGCAGTCTCAGAAGCCCTCAGAGGTCACCAGACCTATAGGGTGGCAATGAGTTGGAACCATTGACTCAGTGGCAGTGAGTTTGATTTTTGCTTTGGAGCATGGAGCTTAGTATTCCTTTGGGGGCTTCTAGAATGCAGTATTTTTCTGGTTAATGTCAACTGTTACTTCTTCATTGGTGTGTGGTGATTTGAGAGAGAGCTGAGTGACATCTAAGATTACATGGTTCCCTCTGGCTACCACCAGTTCTGTTACGTTATATCCTGTGTTAGGTTTGAGTGGATGACTGGGAAGACTTTCATAAGGTGACACACAGAGAAGAATTGTAATAAAACGTGGGGCCACTATGAATGAGTTGGAAATCCACTCTGTGGCAGTGACTTTGGTTTGGGTTTGGAGTAGTTAGGGTTAGCAGCTGATTGCAAGATGCTTAGACCACCCAGGCTCGTACCTTCTGCCACAAACCAAACCCAACTCTGCCATGGAGTCAGGTCCAACTCCTAGTGACCCTGGAGGGACAGGGCGGAGAACTGAGGACTTCTGAGACTGGCTCTTTACAGAAGCCTTCTCTTTCTCTTGCAGAATGGCTGATGGCTTCATTCTGCTGAGCTTGTGGTTAGTTGCCTAATACATAACTGCTGCATCTTAATGCACAGCAGTTAACCATTACTGTTAATGCAGATGAAAATGCGATCTATGAATCACAGTAACACTTTGCCCATCTGGTGAAGTAGGTCTCATTCGAAAGTACAGACAAAAGATACGGACTTCAGAAATGTAGAGCAAAGGCTGAAACTGGATCCAGCCACTGCTGACTCTGGGAATTGCTTTCTGAAACCTTCTACGTTGATCATGCAGAATGAGAAACACTCCAAGTATATTGTAAAAATGATACTGTATGTTCCATTAAATCAGGAATTAGTAGCCAGTTAGTTTTAAATGCAAGTTTCTTACTTCACTGTGCCAATGAATGATTATATTCTTTTACCTTTTTACAGTTATTGTTGTTAGGGGCCATCAAATTGGTTTAGACCAGTGGTTCTCAACCTTCCTAATGCTGTGACTTTACATATAGTGAAACTTACCCTTCAAGTGTACAGTTTCGGTAAACACACACAGCTGTAGTTGTATAACCACCAGCCTCCTTAAGCTGTAGAACATTCTCATTTCCTCTGAAAGCTCTGTTGTATCTCTTGCAGTCAGTTTGTACTTCCTGACAAGCATTTTATAGATGTATGTTCAGTAGTTTTAGCCAATTCGGAATGTCACATAAATGTGTCACATAATGTGTAGCATTTTGAGTCTGGCTTCTTTCTTTTAGCTTAAAGCTTTTGAGCTTTATCCACATCGCTGTTTGTCATTTGTTTGGTTTTAATTATTATTCTATTATGTAAGTATTCTGAACTGTGTGTATTCACTAGTGGATAAACATTTACATTATTTGACATTTTGCATTATTATGAAGTGACTGTAAACATTCACATACAGGTCTTGGGTAAATTGTTAGGAATAGGGTTGCTTAGTTGCGTGGTGAGTTATTTGTGTTTCAAAAATTGCCCGAGTATTTTTGAAATAGATCTATCATTTTGTATTCTTAACTAGGATTGTTAGGAGAATTTCAGTTCGTTTTCATTCTTTCCAAGTATTTTCTCCCATCCTGTGACTTTTCTTTTTCTTGACATGCCTTTCGAAGGGCAGAGTTTTTAATCTTGAACACTTTGAATCTTTATCTCTTTAATTATAGAATTAACACGAGTCAGATTTGACTGGACAGCAGCCTGGTATAATAAAGAATGTAAGGGACTCATTCTTTCCTCTCATGTCAGCTCCTCTAGTACTTAAATACACTACACATTTAGCAAAATATGTTATAAATACATTAATAGTCTCATAAGCTGTAGCAAAGATAAAGCTTTTACCTTAAGAAATATATTTTAGACGTTTCCTTTTCTTTCAGAACTGAAAATTAGCTCCTAATAGGATAATTTAGAATGGGGGATTACCAATTGAAATATTCTAGTTAACCAGTTTGTTCTTCTTTTATTCTAGTGTTATCCAAGATAAATTCTGTGGCATTATAAACATCTCGGTGGAGGGCCTACATGATGTCATGACGGAAGATCCTGAAACAAGAACTTATAAAGAGTAGGTGGAGCATTTAATTAACCTCATTTGGATTTGGGGGATAATTAAGTAAATACATAATGAGTTTTGTTTAGTGGCATGATATAAACATAGTATGGAAACATTACAATTTTGCCCTATCTACTTTATCACTCATGTTTATTACTTGACCTGATAGCATTTATTATTTTGTTAACTATGGTCATCTGCTTTGGCTTTTTTGGCCTAATCATTTTATTATTTGATAATGGGTTCTTACAAAATTCCAAGTAAACATCTGTTTTAGCACTTGTAAATTTTGTTTTAAAATGTTTTGAGTATACTCTTTTTCAATGTAAAAAAAATTGACCTTTCCCTTAGGGCAAGTTATTTTGTGTTTGGTTGAAGCATAGTTGATATGTGTAAGATGTTTGAGGTATGTAATACTTGATGATGTTGTCAGATGCCTTTGAGTTGATTTTCTACTCGTTGCTAACCAGTCTGATGGAAGCTAACTGATGTCATAAGGGGTTTTCTAAATTGTAATTTTAGGAGTAGATCACCAGTGTTTTTCTTCTCTGGCTTTAAACTGTAGTCTTTTAGTCAATAGCCGAGTGCTTAACTGTCGCACCACTAGGGCTTATATGGTTATGAAAACTTGACAGTGAAAATGGAAGGCCATAGAGGAATACAAGGAGGTAACCCCTCAAAAACAGGAATAAAGCTTTGCTGGGAGGAGCTTTCATAGTAAGCATTTTTCCCCTAAGGCAAGCATTAAGCAACTCTCTCTGAGTTAGTGCACTCAGTGGTGTTGCCTAGGAAGATTCTCTCTGGTCACAGTGAATTTTTTTGTAAAAGCAGTTTCACTCAAACCTTGTTATTTTGTGATGGCCAATTTAAGAGAACAGTGTGAGACTGTAAAATTTTGTTTCTTGCTTGGTAAAAATGTCGCAGAAGCTGTTGTGATGTTGAATACATCTTACAAGGACAGGGCTAGGGGGAAAACTCAAGTGGTTTTTTCATTTCAAAAAAGGTGAAATTTCAATTGATTGCAAATCTCATTCTGGACTTTGCATCAACTTCCTGAATGCATTTGGAGTTTGTTTTACTAGGTCAGACTGTTAATCAAACTTTCTACTTAGAGGTTCTGAAAAGATTGTGTTAACAGTGCATGACAAAAAAGGCCTGCTTTGTGGCAGATGGGAATGGTTTTGCCACAACAATGCAGCTGCTCATGCAGCCATCACAGTGCACCAGTTTTTGGTGCAAATAAAACCAACAAAAAACAGCAGCATGCTTCTCATGCCATGTACCTGACTTACCTGACCTCACTCCATGTGCTTTCTTTTTGTTTCCGTGAATGACTGGGGACATGAAAGGACAGCAATTTGATGAAGTAGATGAGTTGAAGGAAAAAACAAGGGAGGTGCTGTCAGCCAACCAAACTGATGAGTTTGAAAAGTGATTCCAAGAATGGAATCACAGATTTGACAAATGTATTAAGTGTGATGGAGAGTACTTTGAAGGTGATAAGGTTGCTTTGTAAAAAAATCTAAATATATAACTTTCAGGGGGAATTCTGGTATTTTGGGGGTACCCCCTCATAGACGCATTTAAATTGTGGACTTATCAAAGAAAGTTGAATATGTCTTACACTGCCTAGAGAAGGAACAATTCTGCCTTTGAGGAAGTGCAGCCAAACAGTATTCCTCGAAGTCAGAACAGAGAGACCTGGTCTCACTTCTTTGGGCGTGTAAATGGAAAGATCAGTCCCTCGAGAAGAACCTTACACTCCATGGAGTACAGGATCAGTGAGAAAGGGGAAGGCCTTCAGAAATGGATTGATACTAATAGCCGTGACAATGGACTGACACGTAGCAATGATTGAGAGAGTGTCACACTGTTAATACACAAGGTCTCTTATCAGTCAGAGCCAACTCAGCAGAACTTAACAATAGAGTGCTTGATTAATTTTTTAAAAAAGGACTAGTTAAATTATGTAATTTAAGATAATTCGTGTGCTATTATTGGTAAATGCCGATAATCTCATTTATTAAGTTGAAATGCTTTCTGTGGGTGTGTTTTAAATTATTATATCCTTTTGTAATGGTAGTAATGTCACATTCTTTTTGAGGCTCTCTGCCCTGTAAAGATTTGCCATCAAAACCTTATAGATTGGTGGACAAACGAGATTTTTTACGTCAATGCCCTATATGCAGTATTAAGATATATACTATTCCATCCCAATTTTGTGATGACCATTCTGTTATATTTTGCTTATGCTTGTGCATAGTAAGATGTATCTTAGACGTGAGCCGCCTTCGGGGGTCACCCTAACCCAGGCACATTGAGCCCATAGACATAGAAATCCTAACAAGGGCTTGGGGTGGGGGAGGGGCAATATGGAAGGGTTGGGGAGCTAAGAGGGAAATGAAGTCCAGAAAGGAAAAATATGTCTGGAGAATTATTATGGAAAAAATTGTACAATTATGTTTGACATGATTGAACTATGGAATGAGATGGCATTATGTATTAATTTTCAAGTTACCACAATTTTTTTTTTAAAAAAAGCATAGATCCAGGAATGAGTTCTGGACTTGCATTAAATCCTAGCTCCAACCTGAGAACATTTAGTTTTTACATCATAGCCCTGCTCAATACTCAACTTAATGAAATGATCACTGAAGATAAGGGCAAAATGTGTCGAAGAAAGCAGATGGTGCCTGGCTATCAATTGAAAAAGTGTCTGGGGTCTTAAAGGCTTGTATTTGAACAAGCAGCCATCTAAGCGAGGAGCCATCTAAATCCATACCAGCTTGTGTGATCCAAAGATGACAATTTACAAAATTAGAATATGGTGAAGAGTAAAGTGTCAGAGGTTAAATCATGAACACCCAATTTGGAGAAGTCTGTGGAGGACAGTGGAACCCAAAGCCCCTCTGGTTGGACCGAGCTGCTGGCAGATCCGCTCTAGTCAAAGGCAAGAGTCCTGACCGGCCTTCCTATCGGGCAGAGACCACTGTCATCCTGACTATGCAGGATCAAACTTGGTACCAGGCCAGTGGTTCTCCCTATAGGCACGACCTGAATTAGTACTGGGGGCAAGTTTTCTTAGATGTCCCATGACAGAAATATTTTCCCTAGATTTTTCAATGTTCAATAGGGGTCTTCTCCCTCTTAGGCATTATTTATATTTTTGCCTTTATCCTGATACGATCTTGCACTATTTTGTTGGGTTTCCCAGCTGTGAAGCAGAGGAGGAATGGATGTATGAAAATAACCGTTACAAGGTATTGTCAGGAATGCAGAAGTGGGGAGTGGGTGATGGAGAGGGAAGGAGGATTTCGGGAGTGAACAGTGAAGGCGGGAGGGGTAGGAGCACTAGCACTGATAGTGATTGCATACCACCATGGTGGGTGGGGCTCTAAGATAGATGTGGTGGTGAGTGTACAACTCCCCTTGATGTGATTGAATGGTGGAACAATTGTATGCTGTGTGAATTATGAGTCAATAAAACCGTTGGGGTAAAACGGTAAAAAAAAAAAGAAACCTTATAGAGCAGTTCTAGTCTGTCTTACAGGGTTGATAAAAGTCAGAATTGACTTGACAGCACTGGGGATAGCGGATGGGAGGCTCTCATTGCTGTTAATAAAAGGCATGCTTCACAATGATAAGCAAGGCTGACTGATAAGCCTTGGACACTTGCCTTACCTTCCTTAATAATGTATCAAGCCTGCTTTTTTTCCCCCTCTCTTTCTAAACTCACCTGTATTACAGTGAACCCTCGTTTATCGTGGTTAATCGGTTCTAGACCCTACCGTGATAAATGAAATTCCGCGAAGTAGGATTCCTTATTTGTAAATCAAATATTTTCGTAGTTAGAGCATAGAGGACATGAAAAAACACCCTTTAGTCACCATTACACTCGTATTACCCAATTTATTAAACGAAAAAGGGAAAATACAGTAAAACATTTTGGACGTTACAATTATCATTTATTATTTATTATATTATTTATATGGCATCAAGCGTGTACAGTATGAGCCAATCAGTGGCAGTAATGACAGAGCATGCGCTGTTACGCAAAAACCGCCATAGAGCGAGGCCGCGGAAGTCGAAGCGCGAAGTGGCGAGGGTTCACTGTATATCAAAGCCAGTTCTACTCTGTCCTATAGATTTGACTTGACAGTAGTGAGATAATATGAGCCCCAAATGAGAAATCATTCATGAATTTATGTCCATTTTTAAAAGGTAACTATGATGCTCAGCACCCAGGCCATCATCCGTGGGGGGTATTAGCAAGTTTCAGACCCATGTTGTTTGTAAGGGTCCAGAGATTAGCCTGGAGTGTGCAGCAGCACCAGCAGCAGAGTTAAGCCACGGTGTAGAGATTCACTTCAAAAGAAATGATTTCCAACTGCTGACTTTTCAGATCACAGCCCAATGCACAGCCACTACACCACCAGAGCTTCCTCCCCTTTAAAAGTGCCTTTTTGAAACTAGAACTGTTCCCCTAGATTACTCCCCTTTTCTTAACTCAAAAGGGCAGATCCACTTCGCTCACAAGAAGGCCTCACTTCATTTCAGTTCTGCCCTGCCCTGTGCGTCACTCTGAGTGAGTATTGCCTAGATGGCAGTGAGGCCTGCCACTCTGCAGATGGTCATCAGTTTTTCTTGACTCTCACACATTGTATTGTTCAAATTTATCTGGGCCAGCTTGTCTCAGAATTATCTTCCAATACAGTCCTGTGTCAGAATTTTCACTAGGACCTGGCTTTATGGTTAAGGTGTTTACCTAGCCAGTTCTCACAAGGTCTTTGTTCTTCGTTCAATTCCTTAACAGACAGGGCAGAAGTCCCTGTTCTATTCCTGACAATAGCCGTGGGTTTATGCCGTATGTCTCCCTATTTTGTGCTTTCCCATAACACGTAGCGGTGTATGTGAAATACGTACTCAGGTGTTCCTTGTCAGAGGGATTTAAAAAGTCTGTGGGCAAATGGAATGAAAAGATACAGGAATTTTCCCATGGACGTTTTTAGGCT